ATATATATATATATATAGAATCCTTTCACAACAGCCTGCAGTCCCAAGCAGGTTGGCTCTGCGCACTCTGCTGAAGAATTGTGACATAACGCCACAGAAGGAGAGTGACTGGCTAGTTTGGCAAATAGAACAAAGCCTAAGAACTAGTCGGTGAGACGAAAAAAGAGATAAATATCAAGACCCGAACAGCCTTATTAATAAAGTACTAGCTTAGGACTTTTGATGTGATGAGTCCCAGCTCTGATGAGATCCGTTATATGACGAACAAAGCCCAGCCCTTTATTACTTAAAACGAGAAAATGATAGCTCGTAGACTGCGTGAATCTGAAAGTTAAATAAGAGCAAAAGAGTTGGAGGAGAACGAGAATCGTCCGCGGAATTGTGGTAGGAAAGACCTTGTCGTACGACATACGAATCTCTTCATAAGTCACTTAAATACGAAATAAAATTCTACACAAAAGTGAAAAAAAGCATATGTTCGAAGAATAGCTTAGTGACTCACTTTTATAATTATGTTTTGAGACTAAAGCGAGAGATGATGTCTCGTGGAAGGACCTACGAATCTCTTCATAAGTCACTTTCATACGAAATGAAATTCTCCATACAAGTAAAGAAAGGCCGGTTTCCGAAGAATCATTTAATGACTCTCGTTCATAATTAGGTTTCAAGATGTAAAGGAGGGATCATGCCTCGTGGAACGTCCTACGAATCACTTCATAAGTCAATTTTGAACGAAATGAAATTCTCCATACAAGTGAAGAAAAGCCGGTTTCCGAAGAATCATTTAATCACTCTCGTTCATAATTAGGTTTCGAGACTAAAACGAGGGATGATGTCTCGTGAAACGACCTACAAATCTCTTCATAAGTAGATTTCATTAGAAGTGAAGGTCTCCATAAAAGTGAATAAATGCCGGTTTTTGAAGAATCCCTTAGTGAATCTCGTTCATTATTTGTTTTAAAGACTAAATAGGAGGGATGAAAAAATGTGGAAAGATCTAGAAATCTCTTCATAGGTCCCTTTCATAGAAAATGAAAGTCCCCATAAGAGTGAATAAAAGCCGATTTCCGAAGAATCACTTAGTGACTCTCGTTCATAATTAGGTTTCAAGATTAAAAAGAGGGATGATATCTCGTGAAATGACCTACGAAGCTTTTTATCACTTACTTTCATATGAAATGAAATTCTCCATAAACGAGAAGAATAGGGGGTTTCTGAAGAATGAATTAGTGACGCTTGTTCATAATTCGGTTTCGAGACTAAAACGAGGGATGATGTCTCGTGAAACGACCTACAAATCTCTTTATAAGTAAATTTCATCCGAAGTTAAGTTCTCCATAAAAGTGAATAAAAGCCGGTTTTTGAAGAATCCTTTAGTGAATCTCGTTCATTATTTGTTTTAAAGACTAAATAGGAGGGATGATAAAATGTGGAACGACCTAGGAATCTCTTCATAGGTCTTTTTCATAGAAAATGAAAGTCCCCATAAGAGTGAATAAAAGCCGATTTACAAAGAATCACTTAGTTACTCTCGTTCATAATTACGTTTCAAGAGTCAAAAGAGGGATGATATCTCGTAGAACGACCTACGAATCTCTTCATAAGTCATATTCATACGAAAGAAACTTTCCAGAAAAGTGAATAAAATCCGGTTTTCGAATAATACTTTAGAAACTCTTGTTCATAATTAGTTTTCGTGACTAAAACGAGGAATGATGTCTCGTGGAACGACCTACACGGAGCCACGGCCAGCGATCAAATTGAGGCGCCCTGAAAGCGTCAAGATGACGCCAAAATCTGTGGGCCACTGACCTGACTCGACGTTGTTGTCTGTCGGCCGTGGCGACGACATGCCTCGACGCGCCTCTGTTGTCCAGACGAGGTGTCCGCGGCGACGGTCGAGTCGTCGACGACGACGCCACGACCTGGACGCATCGAGACCGGCCTCGCCAGGCTTAAAGAAGACTGAACGTCCAAACGATTCGGCCAACGCCGTCGCTGCTGTCGCCGCCACGATTCGACCGCCCGACGTCATTGAACAGTTGAACGGCCGCCGGCGCCGGCACCGTTGCTGCTTCTGCTGTTGTTGTTGGTGATGGTGGTGGTGCTGTTGGTGCTGCAATTGCGGCAACACCCTCGCTGATCGGCCGGCCGGAGAGTGGGGCGTGAGCGAGGCCTGCTTTGGGAGAAGGCGGCGCATCTGCCCGGCGGCCCGTGGCCACAGCCGCTTTCCGGTCGGCCTCTTGACCAGCGCCGGGGCCGACTCAGCCGCACCCTCGTCCTCCTCTTTCTCCTCCTCCGCAGCCGCCACCTCACTCTTCTCCGGCTCCTCTTCCTCCTCTTCTTCATCCTCCTCGTTCTCCTCTCCCTCTTCCTCCTGTTCCTCTTCCGGCCGCTCCTCAGCCTCCACTCGATTGCACTCCTCCCCAGCAGCACCTCTCAGCTTCGGCGGACGCTTCGGTCCCGGGCCGGACCGACTCCGGCCTGCTGGGCAGATGAGGCGGCTGCGATAGCGCTCCCCGTCACGCAGGGGACTGGCGCAGCTGATCACCTTGAAGGTCCGGCCGCACAGTTGGAGGCTAGGGCGGACAGGAAAGGAAATACAGAAGATGACACTCTTGAAGTCGGTCTTTGGTTAAAACTGTATTTCAAAGAGGCCCTCAATATTCGAAGGTGTGAAAAGCAAGTTGTGATAGAAAGGGAAGAGATGAGACCACCACAACCACACCACACCGCCACGGGTACCAGTGGATCAAAGAGCAGACGTGACTTTCGAGGCCTTTTTGATGAGTATGCCTTATTGAGGCTCCCACTATGATTGTGATTTGGGAGATACCTGGCTTGCCTTGAAGATCACGTCTGCTCTCTTGCCCACTGGCACTCGTGGAATGATAGGGTGTCTCAAATAAACGCTCTCTCTCAGGTTCGATCCCGTTGAGTGAAATTCACTGACATCATGATCCCCTCCTAAGCTACTACGGCCGAGGGTGATTACAGCTCTTATACCAAAGCGATTACATTTTATAGACATCAAACGAAGCTGGGTTTCGAAGAATCCCATGTCGCAGGTTTCATTTCCTTTGACAGGCTGGATGAATGGTAGTCGTAAAATGGACTCACCAGAAATCCGAGGAGTGCCTTGCAGTTGAAATGTAGAATTGCACAAATAAGTCCACGGCTCATTGCCCTGCCTCCCGATCCCTCCGTAGTTAACTTTTGTCTCTTAGCCTCAGAGCCAGACAACATTAGTCATGAAAAGGTATCAAAACTCCAGACCAAGAAAGGTTGTCATCTGCAACTCGGCCTACTAAATACTTTCCGTGGCATGCGTACAGAAGAGAGAAGTGGATGTGGGAAAAGGATCTGGAGGTGATCCCAACATTGCTGAGGAGCGTTTGGATATGGTGTACTTGCGAAGGCCAGATTCCGGGTCATTCGTCGTTCTCCCTCTCTTCTTCTCCCTAAGTCTATCCAAAGACCAGAGATAGTTCCCGGGCAGTTTAATTCACTCA